AAATATGTTCATTTGATAGTAATTTATGATTATTCAGTAGTGGTCTTTAATATTATTTTTAAAGGAATTAATTTACAAGTATTTTGTTCAATATTTTTCTTTATGATTGTACTTTTTCACATTATTCTAGTATCTCATTGTATGGATAAACTTTTTATAAGATTTTCTTTTTCTTTTTTTTTTTTACTTTTTATAAGATTTTCATTTAAATAAATAAAATAAAAAGAAATTTTAAAAAATGACAAGAAAAAAAAAAAGACCAATGTAGACTTTTCAGATGTGCTCCATCCCATGCCTGCTTAGCAGGGACAGAAGAAGCCTTGGCTGTGGAGGGCCACTGTGTCACACTGTTGTACCCTCAACAATGTGGCAGCACCAATCATGTGGACTTAGGTGTAAACACAAGCAAACCTTCACCGATTATGTTGAAGTTCAATTTCTTCACAGCTTAGAATTCATGCCATTCATAAAGCCCCCTCTGCTGTGTACGGTGCGTGTTTTGTTCCAGAAATTGCTCTCCTATAGGAGTGCCCCAATTATACTAGCTTTATTTAGCTGGCCTGAAGTTAGACAGCTGGTGGACTTCACATTTCTCACCCTTTCTGGTCTCCCACTGAACAAAAGAACAAGTCACTTCCAAGGCAGTGGTGAGGAACGGGAAAGGCGTGCAAGGGCCTCTGGGTAAGTGGCTTTCGTCACAGTAATCACTCCCTTTTGGCTCCTCTATTAAAGTGGCATTCATCACATTTTAAATCAGAATTAGCAATTCACATGTAAATGTAGAAAGTACTTTTTCTTGTCATTTTTAAATAGGATGGATGTACATCTTGCTGACTCTCTCCACATGGCTGCTTTGAGTCTAGGTTGCAGCTCGCACTGGCCAAAATGTTACTTTATTGACAATTATTCAGAAACTAACCTAGCAACATCTCTATTTTCCTATTTTAATTTTCCCCTCTAACAGCACCTTTAAGTCTGGCCAGTGTTGGACAGAAAAACAAAATACTGTCATCTCTAACGGAGACAGCTCTTCAGAACCACCCTTCTGGCTCTCACCCTGATAAGCAGGACTGAGGTGGTACTGCAGTGGGAAGGAGCAACAGGCTTTTTAAAGGGCCCCACGGGATGCCCTGAAATGCACCAGCAAAATAGCAGTTCATCTGCCCCAAGACTGACGTACGGACAAATCTCCCCGTTTTCTTACTGGTCAGTCATGTTTCTCTCCGCGCGCGCGCGCTCATACATCCCAGGATGGAAAAGAAGAGCCAGGGCTACCACCGAGACATAGTTAATGTGTTGTGCAGGTTTCACTCGAACCAGAAAATGATGCCAAGTTCATGATAGAGATCCCACCAGGAAACTGAAAGAACGCCTGGAAAGGTGCCCCGATTTGTCAGTGTGCAACGGGCTTTGTAGATGAAACGAGAGAAAACCTTCCATTTCTCATCTCAAACAACGAAGAATCACAGAATGTTGGGGAAAGTGCACGTTTAAAAAAATGAAAGTTTTATTTAGTTCTAGCCATTATCTATGTCAAGACACACACACACATACCCCTGGCCCCACCAACAACACGGGAGAGAACTATTCAAAGATTGTGTAAGGGGTGTGCGTGTGTGTGTGTGTGTGTGTGTGTGTGTGTGTGTGTGTGTGTGTTTGTTCATGGGTAAATTGAGCACACACAAAAAAAAACACTTACATGGTTATAGAATGGAGTTGACAAATTCAAGGGAAGGTAAATAACTTCTATTTTAAAGACTTACTTATTTTTATGGTATAAGTGTTTTGCCTGCATGTATGAAAATGCACTACGTGGGTACCTGGTGCTCATGGAGACTGGAAGAAGGCACTGGACCTCTGGAATTGCAGTCATGGATGATAACGAACCACTGTGTGAGTATTGGGAACTGAACCCCAGTCCTCTGCAAGAGCAATAAATGCTCTTAATTACTGAGCCATCTCTCCAGCCCTGTAAATGACTTCTGAAACTGCCATACTTGTTCGGTTCCTGTTAGATGTGCACGCACTGTTGGGTTCCCCCAAATTCACTCAGGAAGGAAAGTGTTCTGACAGGGTCTGAACTGTGCTGAACATGCCCGTTCTTTATCTGAAGGCTCGGGTGAACCAGAGAAAAGAAAGGCGCAGGCAAACAGTTGGCTTTACTTTACTAACCTTTGCCAGATGTAGTTGGCCAGTTTACCAAAGATACTATGTAATTCTAGAAGCATCAATTATTAATACATTTTAGTAAGTCTTGGGAGATAAATGTGTTTAAAATACTTGTAACTCTGTAAAATGTTTGTAACTTGTAGCCTGCAAGTCTTTTTTCTGGAAAAAAGCAAATCATTTATAAGTACATTTTAACTCAAGCTTTCAGTTAATGAATGGATTCATGAATACCTAAGGATATATATATATGTATATATATACATACATATCTCAAGTATATATATCAAGTATATATCTTTTAAAAAATCCTTCATTTCTAAGTTATAAGTGATAGGAAATAGATGGTACATTTAGGTCTTACCTCTTATAACCCAGTTTCTTTCATTTAGTTACAATATATTTGAGACAGCCAAATTCTAAAAGAATAGAGTTGAGTGATACAGTGAAATTCATTGTGATAAGATTTGATCTTCATACAGACGTTTATGCAAAGACTATGCATGTATCTATGGAAGTGAGAACATATGTATGGGGATAGCACTCATATGTAAAATTAAACATTTCTGCAATTGCTTGCCTAAGGAACCCTTTTCATAACTTGTGGTGCCGGCCATGATACAGGAAAGTGTGAGAGCAGAGGAAGAAGATGCCAGACAAAAGGAGTTGGAAACACTGAGTTTTAAGAGCTGTCACACCAGAACCCCATAACAAAAGCCAGCATGGAGGAGGGCTCTGATGAAGGAGTAGTCTACCTTCCCAGCTCCTTGGTGGCCAGACCTGAAGCAGATCCTACAAGTTAGCTCCCCAGAGCAGCAGGCTGGGAGGAGCCAGGAAAATCCCACCTCACAATCAGCATCAGTATGCTTTTTCTTCCTTTCTTTCTTTCTTTCTTTCTTTCTTTCTTTCTTTCTTTCTTTCTTTCTTTCTTTCTTTCTTTCTTCTTTCTTTCTTTCTTTCTTTCTTTCCTTCTTTCTTTCTTCTTTCTTTCTTTCTTTCTTTCTTTCTTTCTTTCTTTCTTTCTTTCTTTCTTTCTTTCTTTCTCTTTCTTTCTTTCCTTCCTTCCTTCCTTCTTTCTTCCTTTCATTCTTCTCTCTCTCTCTCTCTCTGGTTTTTTGAGGCAGTGTTTCTCTGTGTAGCCCTGGTTGTCCTATCTACTGCTGTAGCCCAGGCTGCCCTCGAACTCACAGAGATCCGCCTGCCTCTGCCTCTCAAGTGCTGGGATTAAAAGGCGTGTGCTGCCAACGCCAACGCCGCCCGGCTCAGTATCATTCCAATAGATGTTCCTGCACTTAGTCATCCACAGCCAGCTCTGGAGACAGACCTGCTTAGTGCAAAATGAATCACAGTGGATAAAAGGCCAGCATTTCTTTCCAACTAACTAGCATGGTGAGAAGAAAATGGAATTTGAAAACAAAAACAAGATCCCAAAACTTTACAGCTGTATTGGATTACTAAGGGAGGGAAAAAAATACAATTCAGTAACGTAATAGTCAGAATTGAGTTGACTTCATATTAAGTACTATGATTAGTGATATTTTAACGGAACATTGGCTGCTAAATATATTTGGCCTGATTGAAATTTTCAGCAGTTACTTTTGAAGTGAACTTGAAAACCTGCGGGTGGATTTGGGAACAAGGTTTGCTCTGCCACCTGCTGGCCAGTTAGAAATAATGCCGCTCTCAGATGTTCTCGGTATTCAGAGGAAGCTCGCAGATCTCAGCCCTGGTTTGTGACAAGACAATGCTGAAACCCTGTGGTCCAGGGTCACCGGAATAGCACTGGACCTGGCATCAGCAAACCTAAGGTGGAGATTGTGTGTGTGTGTGTGTGTGTGTGTGTGTGTGTGTGTGTGTGTGTGTGTGTGTGTGACACATACATATGAGGAGCCCCAGCTTACCCATTTCTTTGTATGCCTATGCCCTCAGAGCTGTTCTCTATCCTCAGGATGCTCTCAGTTCCTCAGTGCAGCCACCTCTATGCATAATTTAGTGGCCTTGTCTCTTGGAAGGTATTATGAAATCTACCTAACCTCAAATGGAAGGATGCCCTTTAACCCCGTCAGGCACCGTAAGGAAGTCACTGGTCAGATTTACTGGTAGAGCTGATACTGTGCTGATACTATACAGACCTCCTGCGGTCTGTATTCAGGACATCTTGACAGAGCTTTTATTCAAGTTCAGAGTCTGACTGGACTGGTGACTTCAAATTACCTTTATAAAAGAAAATAGAGACATTTGGGCAGTGGGCACGGTTCAGTGGGTAAAGCTGCCCAAGCATGAAGACTTGAGTTCCGATCCCCAGCACCCATGAAAGAGCTGGGGCAGATGGCATGTCTGTTACCCCAACACTGGGCGGGGGCGGTGTGGACAAGTAAATGCAGGGGCTCGCTGGACAAGCAGGGTAGTCCAATGGTGAGCTCCGGCCTCAGGGAGACTGTCTCAACATGAGGTAGAGATCAGTAGAGGAAGATACCTGAAGCAGAGCCTCTGTCCTACACAGACACTCACATACAACACACACACACACACACACACACACACACACAGAGAGAGAGAGAGAGAGAGAGAGAGAGAGAGAGAGAGAGAGAGAGAGAGAGAATTCCACGAGTTGGGTGCTCTTCACTTACTTGCTTAAATAGGAACCAGTTTCCTAACTTCGGCAGTCTCCGGCCTCTGCCAACTTAGGTCTTTCAAAACAAATGTCCCAATTAAACTGCTTGAAGATTTCTACATTTGTGCTCTCAGTGGAAAGAGCCGGTGCCAGTAATCACGAAGACAACGTCTCCTCCCTGCCCTTCTGCCAACAGCAGCGTTTACGGGACCTAGAGAGACCCATGTGCCATGGAAAGGCTAAAATCCATCAAACTGACACATGACATGTTTCTAAAAACCATTTCTTCGACTTCCAGCTCTGAACTAGACCATTCTCCTTTAAAAGTTTCCCCACCATACCCTTCTGAGGGATTCTGCTATGGAGATTTGAAGTAGCTTTTCAAGCATTCACAATAGACAGGTCCAACAAAGTAGTATCCTTCCCACGTGCTTTATGAACATAAATATCTTTAAAATAGGGGTTTCCACACCCCCGAGCCAGCGCTCTTACAAAGCAAACAGAATTCTGAACTAAGCTAGCTACTGCATTCCCTGGCAATGGACAATGTCCCCCCACACCCCCCCCCACACTCCTTTTTTTGTTTAAAGAAAACTTTTCCCCCCTGACCTGTTTGCAGACCACCCAGGAACCTTTTTCTTTTTCGCACTTAATCAGAGAAAGAAGAGAAAAGGGGACTTGTTGCCCTTAGCAGTTCTGGGCTTTTCTCCTAATAGGGTAAGTTAATTATTTTCACCAACTGATGAGGGGTGGCCAGGCCAGGCCGGCAGGGGCAGGAGGGGAGCAGGTGTTTCACACACCTGCACTGCCAGGCTTAATTGCTCTGAAATCTTGAGGCTTCTGTGGTATTTTCCTTTCTTGGCTGAGTCTCAGGGGGAGGGCCTCATTGGTGGAGTTCTTAACTAATTGCAGTATAAATATGCAGCCACTTTTGACCGAACAAATCGTTTTCTTTAAAATGAACTCCAGGTAAATTTAATTAGGGAGAAAAGGTGATTGGCAGGGGCTAAGCTGAATGCCTGGATTATAAGTCCTACTTCTGTTCAAAGATGAAAAAAGAAAGAAAAGAAAAGGCATATTCTGTTTTCTTCCGAGGTCAGTGAGTTCAGGTAGAGAAAAACTGTTGTACTGACGTTTCCACAATTACACCCAGAAAGATAACTTCGTTTGTTTTCAGTACACTAGAAGAAAAATCGGCTTTAGAGTGAGGTAATCCGCCTAGCAAAATGATATTTATTGTGGAATTTGACGCTGCTTATATTTTTTGTGTATGTGTGTCCGCATGCGTGCACGTGTGTGGATGCCGGCTATGTGCCGTGGTACCTGTGTGGTGGTCAGAGGCCAGCCTCAGATGTCGGTCCCTGCTTCCCACCGTCTTCCTGGAACTCTCCCATGTCAGCCTCCCTGGTCTCCAAGGAGCACTGAAATCACAGATGCATGTTTCTACCTTTGGTTTTTATGTGGGTTCTGGGGATTTGAACTCATGTCTCCACACTTTCAAGGCAAGTGCTTTACCCACTGAGCCGTCTCCTCACCCCCTATATTCAATCGAAATGTATCTGTGAACATGGTTTATACTGAGTGCTTACCATGGCCTAACGCTTCCCTGTGCACTGCCTCCTTTGACCCTCTTATCAACCTTGAGAAGCAGTTCCTGTGGTTAGAGGCAGGAGGAAGTCGAGCAGGAAGAGGCTAAGACAAGTCCCAACATCGGTAGCATGCTCCCGAGTCTGTGTCTGCCTTTGGGGTTGCGCAGTCACCAGAAGTCAGTCAAGCCCCCCCACTATTTTCCAGGCGTGTTTCCTCTTGATTGATAAGAGCAGTCCAGGCAAGACAGAAATTAAAGTTTGAATGCTTCGGAAAGAAGCTGGAGGAACGCCTCGCTCCTGCCTGGACTCCAGGGCACAGCCCTCTGTTCTTTAATCCATGGCGTAGGAAACACAGAACTCCAGGTGTGTGTGGGGCCTCAAGTAAGGAGATCTTGACTGTGATTACGGCTTAGAAAGTTGATCATCTTAGAAGTAATCCTCCTGCTCAAGGGATCAGCCATCTCAGGCCCAGAAAAAGTAGAGGATATTTGGCCCAACTTTCCCAACAGAGTCAGCCAGGTGCAAGATTATAACACAGAAGAAACACGGCTCCACAGACAGTGCCTGATTGTTCCCGGCGGGCAGGCGACCAGCACTTCTTCCTCGGGATAGCCACAATTTCACGACGTTTGTCACGTGACTGCTTCTGTTCTGATGAAAGCACCTGAACCAGAAGCACGAGGTTGTGACCGACAAGGGGGCTTCTCATTGGGCAGCAGCGAGCACGTGCTCACTGGACCCAGGAAATGTGCCAAGCAGGTAAGTCTAGCCTCAGACAAAGGAGCCTCAGTTCCAGCTTCCACTTCCCTTCCTGGCTGGGCGCTTTCAGGGTCTGGAGGTGAGGACT